ACATTTGCCTGGCATGTGTGAGGCACTGCATATAAATAAATAAAATAAAAGTCTATCAACAACTTAAAAAAATATTTAAAAAAAATACACACTGAGGGCTGGGGTTGTGGCTTAGTGGTAGAGTGCTCGCCTAGCACATGCAAAGCACTGAGTTCCATCCTTAGCACCATATAAAAATAAATAAAATAAAGGTATTGTGTCCAACTACAACTAAAGAAGATATTAAAAACACACACACACACACACACTCACACTGGGAAAAAAAAACGTCAAAATGTAACTCCTGCAGGTGGAGATTAAAAAAAAAATGGTGCAAGTTTCACTTCTAAGAAGTCACTTTTGAAAACTGCAAATATAACTCTTTGCAACTTACTCACCAAAAAGGTAAAATTGGAGGAGAAAAGGAAAGGACAAAAATAATTGAGAGGAAAGTCTTACATTGTATTTTTCTAAATTCAGTTCTCTATAATTCTGTAATAAAGTGAGAAAATCCCCAATATGAAGTAAATATATCTATAAAATAATAAAGAAGTCCTTTTAAGTCCCTGATTTTATTTCTTATAAAACCAGACAAGTTTACATGGAAGCTGAACAGAATGATGGTTACCAGAGGCTAGGGAGGTGGGGGTGGAAGAACAGTGAAGTTTCAGGAGTAAATTTTAGAAGGAATAAATTTTAGGGATCTGCTGTAGAGCATAGTAACCATAGTTAGTAACAATGTGTATTTCAAAATTAATTAAAATAGATTTTAAATGTTCTTACCATAACAAATAAGTAGTTGAAGTGATGGATATGTTAGTTTGATTCCATCATTTTTCAATGTATGCATCTAAAGAGTCTATTATATGCCATAATTTTATATAGTTGTCAATTTAAAAGTTTTTTAAAAAAATTTTAAGCAGATGAATATATAGTATGAAAATACTAGCTGGGTGCTGTGGCACATGCCTGTAATTCCAGCAGTTTGGGAAGCTGAGGCAAGAGGATTGCAAGTTTTAGGCTAGCCTTAGCAACTTAATGAGGCCCTAAGCAACTAATTGAGATTCTGTCTCTAAATAAAATACAGAAAAGGGCTGGGGATGTGGTTCAGTGGTTAAGTGCCCCTAGGTTCAATCCCTGTTTAAAAAAGAAAAGAAAATACTAAAGAAAGGATTAATCAAATTTTACCTAAGGCCAAAGATGAAAATAATTTCACTTAATGTGTAGAAGTAGTCCATAGATTATACTAAGAAATGGATTTAGCAACTTCCTGTATTTTGAACCTGTATCAGGAAGTCAACAATAGTTTAAAAGCTGCCTTAATCCTGGCTGGTTTGGCCTTTTAAAAAGCATTGTGAAGCTGGGCTTAGTGAACACTTACATTTCCTGCTACTCAGAAGGCTGGGGAAACTGAGGCAGGGAATCACAAGTTCAAGGCTAGCCTGGGCAACTTTGCAAGATCTTGTTTCAAAATAATTTTTTTGTTTGTTTTTTTCTTTGTTTTAAATAGCTGGAGAGGTAACTCAGTAGTTGAGTGCTTGCCTAGCATGCATTAAGACCCTGGGTTTAATCTCCAACATGACTGCACACAAAAATTATATATATATATATACAAAGTAGAACAACTTGGAATCACTTTTGGAACAAGGTGAGGTTCCAAAAGTGATTCCAAGTGGTTCTAGTTTGCACTTGAATTCCTTGTGTGTCTTCAAGATGCTAGAACAAGACAAACCGGTTTTGCTTACTCATTATCCTTTGTTGATAATTTACCATAGGAAGAAAATGTGGAGTATTGAACTTAGTTCTCTTGGGAATCCAGCACAATATTTTACTTTTTTTTTTTTTTTAATTTAATTGAGACAGGATCTTGCTAAGTTGCCCAAACTGGCCTTCAATTTACAGTCTTTCTGCCTCATCCTCCTGATTCCCTGGAATTCCAGACATGTGCCACTGCGCCCAGCTACTTTTACCTTTCCACAAACAATTCATAATCTTGAATCTAAACACAAAAGCAAATGTTAATAAGGTATGCAAAACAGAAAACAAAAAATGTGTAAATTGGATAATTTTATTTAAAGATAGATAAATTTCAAAATAATAGGTTCAATTACTATCACTTGAATCACTTCAGTAGTAGAAAGAAATGCCAAATTACAAATAAATATGGATAGATATATTATTAGTGCTCATTTCCAGAAATTATGGATGACAGAAAATTAAGAAAAACTGATAGAAGATTCACAAGAAGCAAATATGAAGAAAATATTTAGCTACTATATTACTAATACTACACTTATACACTTGGCATATGTACTATACCTGTTAAGAATCATCAAAGACAATAGTCACCAGGTCATATATTCTCATTTGAGGGAGAATAGCACAATTTTTAATGCCATAATACTTTAAAGGGCCTATGAATATGTTTGGTACATAATTGTGTGAGTGACAAAAGTGAAGTTAACACATCTGCTCAATCAATTAACACTGCCATTTTTTTTTTTTCAATACTGGTGATTGAACCCACAGCTTCACACATGCTAAGTGCTTTACCACTGAACTACACCTACAGCCCCCAAACTGTCATTTTTAATGATTCATTTGACAGAAACTACTGATAAAACTATACACCCATGTGTCAATATAAATACAGAGGGCAAAGAAGGTACTGATACAAAGAACAAATAGAAAAATTATTTTGTAATTTAGTAAGATCTGAGTATTAGCCTTTCTTTTTTTTCACAATAACAAATCTTGAATCTATCAAATGGAAACTCATTCAAGCTCTCTAACCTACTCCTCAGCCAAATATGTATAATTATATGGTCCATTTAGTATAAATGATCTTTGGGAAGCAAAATCTACATTCATTCATGAACTGAAAGTTTTATGCTGATAGTTGTTTGCTGAAAGGGTTTGGTTTTTTGTTTCCATGTCTTGTATTATTTTAGCTATCATATTTAAGCTATTTTAAAATTATACAATGTTTTAAAACATAATTTGTATCAGTATGACTAATGTGAAACCATGTTTTAATGTTTCCTGATATCTAATGTAGGGCTATCTTAAGATAGTAGAACTTTCCAGTTTATATTTAGTATAGTGTAAGATATTAAAACTAAATGTGGATATAAGCACCACTGGGAATTTTATAATATTTCAATTGATAACAATGCACTCAATAATTCTAAGTTTTAAATATGCCATCTGCTTCTCTCTTCTACATGAGCTGCTTGATTGCTTTGGAAGCAATTATTTAACTCTGTTAAAATTCTCTATTATCTTTCTTATTTTGACTCTATTTGATTAAATAGATCAAATTTCTATTTGATTATCTTAATAATAGCAGCCAGCATTTACTAAGAATTTACTGCACTTCAAACACAGGGAAAATCAAGGTAGTGTGGTGGATTGGTTTTCTGTTGGTGTGTACAAATTGCTACTAACTTAGCAATTTAAAACAACGTATTTATTATTATTTCTGTAAATCAGTAGTGTAGGCATAATAGCCTGTATTCTGCTTAAGGTCTCACAAGGCTGTAATCCAGTAATCCAGGTCCAGCCAAGGGCTGGGGATGTGGCTCAGTGGTAGAGTACTTACCTAACATATGTGAGGCCCTGGGCTGAGGCCCTGTGTTCAATCCTCAGCTCTGCACAAAAAAAAAAAAAAAAAAAAAAAAAGCAACAGTCAAACTGTATTCCCATCTGAAAGCTTGACTGGGGAAGAATCTCCTTCCAGGTTCATCCAGATTTTGGCATTTTTAATTTTCTTTCAGTTGTAGGTCTGAGAGTCTTGGTTTCTTATGAGCCATAGGTTGCCCTGGCTGCGCTCCTAGAGGTCACCTGCAGGTGTTTGCTCTGTGGGTCTTTCCAACATAGCTGCTTATTTTAGCAAACAATGAGGAGTGTCTTCAACATCTCTAAATTAACCTGCTAGCCAAACAGTGATATCCTTTCTTCTTTGCCATAGTCTGTGCTTTAAAAGCAGGCCACGAGTTGCACTCAAACTTGAGGAGAAGGGCTTATAAAAAGGTGTGAACACCACACCTTTTTTAATTGTTGGGGGCTATGCTCAACTTTGTCTGTTACCTGCAATGATTAATGTCACAGTTTTTAGAATTTGGCTAAGCTTGGATTTCCAGCTCAGCTATAACACTCTAGCTATGTGACTTCGATCATCTTAGTTTTTTTTTTTTTTTTTTTTTGTACCAGGGATTGAACAGGGGCACTTAACCACCGAGCCACATCCCCAGTGCATTTTTGTATTTTATTAGAGACAGGGTCTCCCTGAGTTGATTAGGGCCTTGCTGAGTTGCTGAGTTGCTGAGGCTGGCTTTGAATTCGAAATCCTCCTGCCTCAGCCTCCCCAGTGCTAGGATTACAGGTATGCATCACCTGACCCAGCAGTCTTTCTCTTTCACTCTTAGTTTCTTTATCTGTGAATAAAGGCAATAACCTCTTTTTTTTTTCTTGGTACTAGGGATTGAATCCACAGGTACTTTACCACTGAACCACATCCCCAGCCCTTTTCACTTTTTATTTTAAGTCAAGGTCTCAAAAGCTGCTTAGGGCCTTACTAAATTGCTGAGGCTAGCCTAGAACTTGCAATCCTCTTGCCTCAGCCTCCTGAGCTGCTGGGATTACAGGTGAGCCCTACCATGCCCAGTGAGGCAATAAGCCTTTCCACTATTTTTCTCCAAAAAATGTAAAATAAGGCTCATAATAGAGTTGCTATAAAGATTAACTTAGCATTTTAATACAATAACTAATAACATGAAAGGCTCAATAAGCCGTTGTTAGTTTTCTTTCTCCTACCGGCCTCAGACTTTTCATGTTTTCTATTTCGGTCTGGATCCATTAGAAGTCCCCATTATTTCAAGCTTCTTAACTTCTACTTATTTAGTCTATGTCCAGGGTTGGTGTACGTGTGTATGTGTGTGTGTGTGTGTGTATACACTGGTATCAAGGGTCATTCAAAACCAATTCTAGATTTAATACCTTTAAACACAAGAATGAGGGGTGGGGGTGTAGCTCAGTGGTAGAGCTTTTGCCTAGCACACACAAGGCCCTGGGTTAGATCCCCAGCACCACACATACACAAAACTAAAACAAAAAACAAAACACAACAGCAGCAACAACAAAATAAGACTGATATTGTTGCAAATGTTATGTCCAACTTAAGCTTGGCAAAATTAATAAAATGATAAATCTATAACATCAGAAAGATAATTATCAGACATAGAGTCCTTGAGAATTTAGAAAACATTGCTGAGATTGGCTTTAATTTCTCCCTCTTAAATCATATTCCATATGCATAAGCTACAAAAGAACATGTTACAGCATAATATTATTCCTGGGCATCCATTCTAGCTAAGTAACCTTGGGCATGTTACTTCAGCTCTATAAAGCTGAGTTCTTTATGGACACGATAGTACCCCCTTCATAGGATCATGTTTAAAATTTACTTAAATGCCATAAAAACTGCACCTAACTCATAATCGGTACTTAAGAAGTGGTTATTATAATAACCATTATAATCTTTACTATCTCATTACTATTAGGAAGACTATATTAGGAAATTCTACAAAATAGGAAGTGGGGCGACACAGCTATGAATGAAGTGGGTGAAGTGAGGCATAAGAAGCCACAAGATCTTAAGTTCTCATAATAATTGAGGATGTGGCTTAGTGGTAGAATATTAGGCTAGCAATCTCAAAAACCTGGGTTCAATCCCAGGGAGACTGAGGGAGGAGGATCCAAGGTTGGTAGGCCAACCTCAGTAACTTAATGAGACCTTCAGCAATTTAATGAGAAACTCTCAAAAGTTAAAAAAAAAAAAGACTGGGGATGTAGCTCAAAGGTAAAGTGTCCCTGGCTTCAATCCACAGTATTTAAAAACAAAATAAAATCAGACCATTTCCCTAGAGAATTTTATATATATATATTTTTTTTCCTAATTCTGTTATCTATTTTTGCTTTATGTTGATTTTCACAGTATTTAGTTATTTTTCCATGAAGACTTCCTCTAACAAACTAAATTATAAATGTTTCCAGGATAGGATTTTCTGTTATTATTGCCATTGTAATTTTTAAGATTCCTTATGAAATCTGGTATAGTACATAGCAGACTTTCAATAATGCTTATTGAATTAGAAAATAAATACTAGTTACTCCTCTTTATTAAATGGTATTTGGTTTAGCAAATATTAATAATTTATGAAATTAATAAATGACATTGAAATTCTTCTTGACTCTTTCATATACCACATCTAATGGGTCAGCAAATCCTATTAGTTCCACTGCAAAATATATCTGGACTAAATACTTCTCACGTCTCATGTAGTACTACCCTGATCCAAGCCATCTTGCCTGCAGGGACTCTGACTGCAGCTGTTGGGCTTTAATACCCTGCTCATTACAGGAAGCACCATTCACAGAAACTTCAGGGTGGATGTTGCTTCCTGGAGTTGCAGTGCAATGATCCTACTTGCCTGTATTACTGCAAAAGCCTCCTAACATCCCCTTTCTGTTTCTGCCTTTGTTCTTTACCAGACTATTTTTTTAGGGGGGGGGGAGCAGTTACCAGGGATTGAACTCAGCGGCACTCAGCCACTGAGCCATATCCCCTGCCTATTTTGTATTTTAGGTCTCACTGAGTTGCTTAGTGTCTCGTTTTGGCTTTGAACTTGCAATCCTCCTGCCTCAGCCTCCAGGGCCTCTGGGATTACAGGCTTGTACCACCACACTCAGTTTACCAGTTTATTCTTAACACAATAGCTCGATCCTGTTAAAACTAAAGTCAGATCATGTTATTTCTCTGCTTAAAATCTTCCAGAAGCTTCCATCTCATTTAAAGTTAAAGATAGAATCCTTGCAAAGCCCTTGACTCACTTTTACCTCTCTGGCTGCATCTCCTTCTATTCCTCTATTTTTCACTCTGCTACTAGTTGCATTGGGCTCCTCACTTTTCCTGGGACGTGCCAGCCATGCTCCTGCCTAAGAGTATGTGCATGTGCTGTTCTTTCTGCTTGGAATATGCCCCCACTCCCATATCCTCAAATATCCACATGGTTAATTCCTTTTGGTCTTTATTCAAATTCCACCTTCTGCTGGATGTGGTGGAGGTGCACATCTGTAATCCTTACTACTTGGGAGACTGAGACAGAAGGACTGCAAGTTCAAGGCCAGCCTGGGTAGTTTAGGGAAAGCCTGTCTTAAAAAAACAAAACAAAACAACAACAACAAAAAAAAAAAACCAGGGGTAGGTGCCACAGTCTGGCTGGGCACAAATCACGAGCCACTCAAGCAGGAACAAACTTTATTTTCCGAACTCCCGCAAACGCCACCCTCGCGGCCCTTCTAGGCACACCACACACCAACCGGGACTCCCACCACCAGAACTTCCCCAACCAACACGAACTCCCCAGGAATCCCCGGGAGAACTCCAAAGTAGCGGGCGCCCCAGGTGGACAGCAGCGATCTATATACAATTGAATACACAACCTGTTTCAATCCAGCATCATCTTAATGGCTCGCCTCTCAACCATTACTTCTGGCAAAATGCCAGGGGCCATTCTGACTCGGCTGTGGCTCTCAACAGGTAGGGGTAAGGGGGTGCTGGCAGTGTAGCAGAGCACTTGCCAGGCATGCCCAAGGCCCTGGGTTCAATCCCCTACACCAAAACAAAACAAAGCAAAACAAACAAAAAACCACCTCACCTTCTTGATGAGGAATTTTTCACATCCATATATCTCATTGCATCACCATGCTCTGTATGCTTTATGCCTTAGCTTTTTATTATTATCTCACCCACTATTTTTACATACTTTTTGTCTGCCTTTCCCCCACAGAATGCACACTGAAGTAGGTAGCTGTATCTGTTATGTTTATCACTTGACCTCCAACACTTGGAACCATGCCTGGTGCAAATAAGTATTCAATAAATACTGGCAGAAATAATGAATGAATGATTGAAGACACAGTGGCTCTTCTAAATATAAACTACTTTCTTCCATACACTAAGCAGAAGAAATAGAGTAGTCTAATGTCTTGAAAACAACTTGCTAGTGATATTATAGGGATCAAAATTTTGGCAAGCCATTATTCATTCATTAGATTTGTGATAAAAATGATAGTCTTTTTCAGTACTGGGAACTGAACCCAGGGCTTCATGCATGCTAGGCAAGCACTCTATATACAATTGGAATATTTTATGTAATAACTATTTGAAATTATTTTTAAAATATGCTACTCTATAATTAAGTAGAACTATAATGACAGAGAGTCAAACATTTATAGAAACAGTTTCTCTTATTTAAAACTTCTCTAGAAAAAGGAAAATTTTCATCTAAAATTTCTTGAGGAAAATTATGGACAATTTAAAAGCCATACCTTTCCAGAAAAACAAAATACACAGTGGAATGGGAATCAATCGGATCAGTGGCCTGAGAATTATAATGCATTTAGGTAGCCAAGGAAAGTTAAAGCCTCTCAAGGGATTTCCACAAGAACCCCTTTATACCCAATTGCTATCATGTACGTGACTTAACACCAATCATTGCTCATAAAGAACTTCCTGAGTAGTTGGAATACAAATTCTTACAACACTGTGCTATTTTTAAATAGAGAAAAAATATCAAACGTGTGGAAATATTTTACAAGCAAAATAAACAGACAAAACGGTATTGAGCATCATGAAACTAGGAAAACTTCACAACATATTCCAAAGTGAAAGATTAGTATGACAATGAATTGCAATTACATAATGATTTTCCTTGGATATTTAAATGCATTATAAAAATCATTTAATTCTCAAGATACTGATCATTTTGGTTCCTGCTTCACCAAGCAATAAAATATCCATGTTTTCTATCCTTATGTTTTTACTCCTGTGAATTCCTGTGCTATAATAAATAAATTTAAAACAACAATAACAAGCTCTTAATCTGAATCTCATTTCAATGTGGAAGTCTTACTTCCAAAAATCTAACTTTAGATTTAGAACCACATATTTCTTTTCCATACTTTCATTTATTTAGCTTGTAAGGCTCTATGTAAAATAAAAATAATAAAAGAAAGAGAACATTGAAGTCAGACTTTTGGAATTGGTGAGGAAAAGGAGGTCCAAAAGGCTGAGAGAGATAATATTTTAATGGTAAAAGTCAATTTCCAATCAGAAACCAGTTTAAGGACTTTTGGTCCAGTGCCCTTTGTCCCACACTCTACTAAGAGAATGCTGTATTAACAAATTACTGAGAAAGTAGAGAATTATATTTAGTGGATGTTCCTATTATTTGAATCCAAAAATTATCAGATTCCTTTCCCAGCTCCCAAGGAAAATTTAGGGCTTTCACTAAAATATGATATATGAAGCATCTCTCACTTGTAAACAAAAACAAACAAACAAAAACTTTGTAAGGAAGATTTTACTTGGTAATAAGGATTTAATAACTCAGGAAATAATGATGCAGATTAATTTATTATTTTAAGCACTCTTTACTAGTTCTCAAATCCAAGTGACAGTTCCCATATTTGGTTGAAAGAATCCAGTGTTTTAGAAAATGTATAGCTCATTTTCATGTATTCCTCCTTCATAAATATGTAAAAGCCTATTTCTATTCTTCTAAGTTTATCCCAACTTACTTTGAAGATCAGTATGCATAGCAAAAAAATTTTTTTAAAAAGGTAAAATGAGTTTAAGCAACACATTTACAAAGTATAAGTATTTCTGTGTCTATTACAAATGGAAAGTCAGATTACTGACAGGATTCTTTCCCCCCACAGATCTCTACAACAAGCATATATCAAATCAGTGAGCAAACAGAAAGCTTGTATAAATGGCTTTGTCTTTATGATTAAACTGGCTCACTGCTGTGTGCCAATGAATGCTGCTTCCATTCTGGGTGTCAGCACATCTCTTTGGTTAATGGCATCTGAGCTCCGCTCTGACTGACTTATTATTTACTGCCTTTCTAAAATACCTGATTTTTGCTCCAGTATGTTAGAGACTACTTCAATTACTCACTACTTGCCCCCAGCATAAGGCTAATTTTTGTCAAAAATTATGATTCCTTTAAATGGTGGAACCAGCATTC